CCCCAAAACCCCAAAACCCCAAAACCCCAACTCCACAGTATAAATAGTAACTTTCTTATCAATTTATAATTAATTTTTCACTAAAGTCATGAACAACAAACAGAAAGTTGAAAGTTCAGGTAAGAAACAGAGGAGATTTTGGAGGTCTTCTGAATGGAGCTTTGACTGGTATGCTTGGCATAAGAGCTGAATGGCCTCAGGAGGTTTTGGGGTTGGAATTTTGGAGGGGTTGGGAATTGGGGATTGGGAATTGGGAATTTTGCTGGGAGGTCAAGAATGGCCGATTTATTTGAATTTAGTGGGGATGGGTTCAGCTGTTCTTATTGATGGGTTATTATGGGTGTATTTGTGGATGTGATGGTTTGAGTTTGCTTGATGGGTTTTTACCAACATTAAAATTTTGCATTTTGAGCTCTAAGTTACACAAGTTGTACATAAACGGTTTTGATGCATATAATAAGATCGCTTATCTCCACTATAGCTTCGACCTCCTTTGTGTCTGCATGTGGGGACTTTGATGAGAACTCATTCCTTGTTGAAGAGTAAGTGGCCGACTTTAAAATATTAGTCATCAGAGATGTTACATTTCTAATTTAATTTTAACAAGAAAGAACTAGCTGTGATTTATTTTGAGCAAAATGTATTAAAGCAAGATTGTGACAGTTAGTTCTCTTAAGATTAGCTGTGAAAGATAAAACAATTTATCAATATTTGGGGGATTAATAAAGGATCTATCTCTATAGATATCACTAATTTGAGTATTTTATCTCCCCATGTTGGAGTCAAGCATGCTGTATAATTTTATTGACTGACTTTACTAATTAGGGATACTTTTCCAGAATTTTTATTCACATTATTTCAGAACGAGTTAAATATCTTTAGTTTTCAAAAGCAGGTGTTTTTTTCAATAATTTTTAAGCATATAATTTGAATGACCACCAGACTTAGCTGAGTTAATGAAAGAAATATGTTAGTGGGCTAAGTTTATGACTCAAATAATCAAGGATTTATAAATGATACTAAACCTACTTGAATATTAGAATTGTAAAGGCATTTTAAAATTATTAACTTGCTCTCTTTTTGAGCGAGTAATCAGCATATAATTTCCTGATTTGTATTCAAAATTTCTGTTTTTTGGAAAGGTTCAATCATTACTATTTTTAACAACTCTTACTTGGAGCCCATACGATTGAGATTAGTTTTAGAAGCTAACCCTTAAACATAGCATTGAAATCTGAGACCTCGAGCTTGACCGAGTAATCGGCGAAGGAGCTTGGGGAACTGTCTGGCATGCCATCGACCCTATAACTAAGATTAGTTATGCAGTCAAGGTTGTCTCTAAGTATTCCTTGCTGAAGAATAAGCAGCAGGAGCATGCAAAGAGAGAGAGGGAAATTATGCCTCAGTTAGACCATCCATTCATCGTCAAGCTTAAAAAGTTTAGTCAAGATAAAAGATGCATATATTTCATCCAAGAGTTTGTTAATGGAGGAGAATTCAAAACTTTTGTCAAGAGGAACAGACGTCTCAACAAAGAATTATATCAAGGTTAATTTCTTACTGAATCTTTGTAAAACAAACTGTAGATTCTGGTGCTTCATATATTATTGACTATTCTTATTCATCTTTTAAAGCGTCTAAGCTTTTGATATAGGCTCATTTTATGCAGCTCAGATAGCAATGACACTCAGTTACCTTCACTCTGAAGGCATCATCTACAGAGATTTAAAGCCTGAGAACATGATGATGGACCAGCAAGGATACCTCAAGTTGATCGACTTCGGTCTCAGTAAGAAGATAACTGGAGATGGAAGGTCAGGCAAGACTATGACGATGTGCGGTACCCCAAATTATATTGCTCCAGAAGTTATTTTAAATAAAGGCTACAGTTTCCAAGCTGATTGGTGGTCCTTTGGCGTCGTCCTCTACGAGATCTTTTATGGTCAAATGCCATTCGAAGGCGATACCCCCTTCGATCTCTGAAAGAGCATTATTAAGGACAAACCCAATTTCTCTAAGAAAATTGATGATAAACTGAATCTTTTGATAAAAGGGCTCCTAAGAAAGGATCCTAGGAAGAGATATGGAGCCAAGAAAATTCTTGAGAATAAATTCTTCAAAGATACAGATTATAAAGCTATTTTCACAAAGGATATGGAAGCTCCTTTCCGGCCTTCAGTGGAATCAAGTAATGATACGAAATACTTCAAGAAGATTATGTTCCCTAAGGTGAATGAAGCGAACTCTCCTGAGCTGCACCCAAGAGAGGATATTTTCAAGCACTGGTAGACTATCTGTCTGGCAATGAACCTATTTATCCTAAAATTTCCTGAAATTTGCATTTCAAATCCACATTTATTTCAGTAAATATAGATCTTAAAGGGGTTTTGGGGTTTTGGGGTTTTGGGG